TATTCCGTGTCCTACCAAGGGGTGGAAGCATATAAAATATTTCTATTCCTGCTTTATTGGCTGAAATTTACTTTCCTTATTAACCTATCGGTTTTCAAGCAGCCGACTTTCAACTTACCAGTTTTGGCACAGTTTTCACGGTCGTCGCGGGCGGTCTTAACGAAACCGTGCAGGATGCGTTGTTTTTTCTCTAGTTATACTTTTTTTCCATACGCCGTAAGTGGCCTCGGGGACAACTACGAAGGCGGTGCAACGTCACCAAGTAAAAAATATCCTCCCAGGTGTGGCAACGGACACCAAAGGAACCATCTGGGCAACGACTATGATGTTCTATTCGCACGAAGTGAGGACACATCGCATTTTCCCTGAGAGCTGGATGGGTGTGTTTGCTTGTTATACAACCTACCTTACAACCTGCTCATCTCCAGCAAGTTTCCTTTTTAGCTCTACCAACTGACGCATTTACTGGACACACCATCAGCCCAGTGTGTATCAAGGGGCTGATGGGTAGACTGGGAGTCAGGGGGTGCAGACTTCTTCTAATCCCCTGATTATGTGAATCCTGGTGTGTGTGTGTGTGCGTGTCAAGGGGGTCGGGTCGTGCTGTGGCGCGCGCAGACGGATCTGCGGGCAATGTCAGTCACTGCACCTATTTCACCTCAGGCGACCGATCAGCTAAACGGTGGCTAGATGCGTGCGGTGGGGGAGAGAGTGGCTTGATCCTCAGCGTATTCCTTTCCTCACTGCAAAGGATCTGATGCATTTGAGGCTTATACAAACGAACATGCGAGCCCCAGGAAGTAATTGGGAAGAAGACGACTCGATCGCTGGGACAAAACGTTTATTCGCCTGACGTTTCCAAATCCGTCGTGGATTCATAATCAGATATATTAGCAGAAAACAGTAGCTTAAACCGGTAATACATGCACATGAGTTTGCAGTATTTATAGGATACAGTGCATACTACAAATATACAGCGACAATTAACGTCAGTTGGCTTCTTGCGCGTGGATATTTTGTTGGACTGCACGCGGGCTCTGACCTGTTGAACTTTCATCACGGGCTGTGGACTCGGGCGTGATGATTGCTCGGCCATCTGGCCCTCCAGTGTTGGTGTGAGATGACGTGGTGGCCTGTCTGTTCCACACAGGTGCTCACGTTCAAGGAACGTGTCAACAGCGTCTTCCCGGAAATCCAATTTACGATGGAGGAGGAAGTGAACAACCAGCTGGCCTTTCTTGATGTTCTTGTCTGTCGCAAAGATTGTGGTGACCTAAAGACTAAAGTATTTAGGAAAGCGACAAACACGATGCAAGTACTGAATGACAACAGCAATTACGCAATCAGCCACAAACGCAGTTGCGCAAAGACGCTCTATCGGCGTGTTGAGACGCACTGCAGCGAACTAGAAGACAAAGTTACCGAAGTACAATATATTCGACGGGTGTTCAGCGAAAATGGCTACCCGCGCAACTTCGTCTACCCACGCTTGCGCAAACGAAATGACCAACAAATCACACCAACCCCAAACTGTGGCGAGCGATGCCGTACGTCAAAAACCTCTCGGAGGCTGTCGGCCGCCTTCTCACACCACTTGGTGTTGGAGTCGCACACAGGCCAGAAGCAACCATGAGGCGTCATATAATGAAGCCGAAAGGCCCACTGCCACGGCAAGAAACATCTGGGGTCGTCTACAGGATCTGGTGCAGTACCCAATGCCACGGCAAGAAACATCTGGAGTCGTCTACAGGATCTGGTGCAGTTGCGGGCAAAGCAACTATGTCGGAGAAACTGGTATTCTCAAGACGCGAATTGCCGAACACGCGATAGCAAGGCGGTGACATGACGCCAATTCTCAAGTTGCGGCTCATTGGACAAGACCCATTCACACATTCAAATTTGATGAGGCCGAAATTCTCGCTAGATGTGACAATCGGGTGAGCCGAGAACTACTTGAGCCATGGTTCAAGTGCCCGCAATTCATAAACAAATGCAACGATTTGCCCAATTCATATTCGGTGCTGAGACCCAATTTGGCGAAAACAAGTCGCCACTTGGGGAACGAACAGGCCACCGCGTCATCCCATACCAAAACCGGAGAGCCAGACGGCCGAGCAATCGTCACGCCCGAGTCCACCGCCCGTGATGAAAGTTCAACAAGTCAGAGACCGCGTGCCGTCCAACAAAATATCCACGCGCAAGAGGCCAATTAACGTTAATTGTCGCTGTGTGTTTGTATTAATGTCTGTATCCAATAAATTTTGTATTACCGGTTTCTGCTACTGTTTTCTACTAATATATCTTATTATGAATCCGCGACGGATGTCAAAAGGTCCCAGCGATCGAGTCGTCTTCTTCGCATTTGAGGCTATCACGGAACGTGGCTTGTAGGGTTGCCAAATGATCGGATAACTGGGACCGAGCAGTCAGTCCAGTGTGTGTCTTGTTGTGTGGAGTGGCTGGCTGACGGACTGTGGGTCAGGCTGCAACGGCTTTTTTCTAATGGGACCCTTATGGACTGTTGGCCGCGCCAGCCACCTGCGCCCTCCCCATCTCTGATCTTCTACACTGTCGTCTTGACACCGGATGCAGGTGCGTGAGCGGAGAAGGAGTGGAGTCTAATTTCACCGCGTTTGCCTTTAGCTTGCTGAAGCTCGTGGTGGACATCGTCGATAACGTAAGTCAAACTGTCCTATCGCAGATTATGCCGATAAAGCCCATATGAATAATAGTGGCGCTGGTAATTTTATTGTACTTTTGCTGTTAGCGATTACAATGATGCTGATGACGGTGCCTTCCGTCTCATTAAATAAACATACTGTCAACATTTAGTCTATTTCCGGAGAAAAAAATGTCTCCATTACATTTTCTCTGTAGGATATCATCAAACACTTTGGACTTGAAGACACCTCCTGGAAAATACACTTCTCTGTAAACAACACAAAATAGATTAAGATATAGAAGTTTAGAAATCGGATGTTTACAACCAACAGTTACAGTTGTAGGATTCCTGATTATTTTAGGACATGTTGACGAGACAAGAAACCAAATCCAGCTGGCCCAAAAGTTTGGTGAACTCTTCCATACGTGAAAAATGTATCGGAGTTAGTCAGCCGCATTCTCACTCCACTGGAAGTTGAAGTTGCGCAAAGGCCAGAAGCAACCATCAACCAACCACCCACTGCTACTGCAAGTCCATTAACTATGCATGACATAAGTCTGGAGGTGACTACGCAAGCCTCTGGACACAGGCGACAAATCAATTGAGTTTCAATTCACGGATCAGACTTCAATGCATCTGTAATGACTAGCATCACGCAAACGCTCACCTATGAACGCTCCTTGCTTTTGGATTCTGAGAAAACCAATCTCAGGTATTCCAAAGCCGAAGAGAAGGCGGCGTATAACACGCCCTAGTCGTAGGTTGACCTCAATCCGACTGGTCATTCGCCTTCAAGGCCATCTCACGAGAACCTCAATGCGGTGACTGCCGCCAAGCCGGCATTTCGGACCAAGCCGATTGATGTGCGATTCAGCAGTCAACTTCTTCCTGCCTATTGTCCCACCCCTTCTATAAGGAACAAACTGTTACTACCACCCTGGCCTCTCATGTATTCTCTTCTCCTAAGGAACCGGACCTGAAGATTGCAGTTGCCAGGGTTTAATTTTCTTAACCCCCTGCGATACCTCCTCGACTCCTCTTGTGTCGGAAATGAGCGACTATTTTGATGCCTGCGAAGTTGAAATCATGGCCCGTTTCGTAAGTGTGATTTTCTGGACATACTACCCTCAGAAATATTTACCAGCAGTACTCATGGGTAACTGTATTTAGTGGCGTCCCACAAGCCTCAGTCTTATGTCCAACAGTATTCCTGGTTTTCATCAATGAATGTCCAGGGATATAGACTGTGATGTCCAACTGTTCGTTGACGACATGAAATTGTGGAAAGTTGTTCAAATTACAGCAAGCAAACTTGAACAGAACTGGTCCTGTTTTACAAAGCTGCTCTTCTCACTTGATCGCTAGACCAAATCACGTAACGAAGGCAAAATGGTGCACGCCATCTACATTGACTTCAAAATGGCATTCGACAGCGTCCATCACCAACGCCCCCTGCATAAACTGCGCAGCACAGGCGTTCGCGGGACCCTCTTCCTATGGATTCGAAACCTTTTGACTGGACGGTACAAAAGAGTACAAGTCGGTCGCCAGCAGTCCTCGGGGATACCTGTGGTGAGCGGCGTCCCACAAGCCTCAGCTTTAGGAACCACATTATTTCGCATTTGCATCAATGACTGTTTCAGGGACCTAAAGTGTGATGTCACCCTGCTCACTGAAATTGTCGAAAGTTGTCCAAAATACGGCAGATGAAAATCATCCGCAAACTAACTTGAAAAGGTTGGATATCTTGTAAAAGCATTTACTTATGGCCTTCAATGTTAGTGTATGCAACTTTCTCCAAATCGGCAGTTGTGGCGCATCCGGCCTGAAGTCATATTCTTTAAACGATACACCGCTGCAAAAAGTTGAAAGTCAGAAGAACTTGGATGTGTGGATTACTTCTTCAGTCAAACCAACGCTGAACTGTACGAAGGTAGCAGAGCCAGCCAAATTAAAATTGCAAGGGATTAGACGGGCCCTCATAGTATTTGAAAAAGAAAGCTTTTTAAATATAGCTGGAAGCTTTGTTCGGCTGCACTTAGAATTCGCTATACAGACATGGAGACCCTGGACTGTCAACGACTGTACCGTCTTATAGGAGGTCAAGAGGCGAGCGACAAAAATGGCCAAATGTCTGGGAACGCTGCCCCATGAAAGCAGATTGTCAACCCTCAATCTACCTCCCCTTTCATACAGGGAACTTCGTGGGACCTCATCCTTACCTTCCGTATTATGAATGGTCTGGATTGTTTTTCTGTCGCCGATTATTATTTTAACCAAGCTAACACGTTCACCTTGCGTGGTCATTCCATAAAACTACAGCACAGCAAAGGAAGGATCGATGGACGTGAATGTTTCCTTCAGTAACATAGTGGTTGCAGGGTAGAATGCTCGCCCCAAAGGGGTTTTCCTCTCCACGTGTGTGAACACGCATGCACCAAACACTTTATTCACCACCGACAATCTGACCTGCAATGGAGATATTAAACATACTTATTATACTACTCAAGTTAAGCAAGTAGCCATGTTTTATTACTCTTTCGATACCAACGGCTTTTCGTTCTTCGCTTGCAAGCATGTAATTGAAGTATTTTTTCTGCTATTTTTCTTTTGTTTCCATGCATTTGTAGCCGCCTTGTTACCAACAGGGAGCTCAAATGCATTCGCCCATCTTTCCCTCAATAAACTGAGACTGATTATTTATAGTGCTACTGCGGACACCATCCTGAAATGCATTGCATGACGCGGACAGACAATGATAAGACTGTCATGTCAAGTCAAGTTAATTAAGGGAAACATAAGCAAACGCCTTTGAGCCCTTCGTTTGTACACAGTTGTTAAGAAATGCAATGGCACAGCCGAACACTTCAAAAAGGCTCGTTTACATAATTTTTGGGCAACTTCTCACTTGTTCCAAGTAATACAGTCACATGTAGTGATGTTAGTTGACACCAGCCAGCATGTGTACCTGAGCAAAAAGAGCAGACAGTGAAAAAACTTCAAAGACATGGCGCAGATTTCAGATATGGAACGTCATTTAAGGTTTTTAAGGAGAAAAACTGTAGCTTGTGGGAGAAAGTACGTGAAAGATGGGACCGGCATGCTGCTATGAATGTTGGCGGCAAGCCCGAGGGCTCATCTCGAGTAATAACCTTACCCGAAGGGCCACACGAGGAGTAGACCGCAGAGACACGAGAACAACCCGAAGAACCGGCGATGCGACCATGATGCGCCCTTGCTGTGACCAAAACCCGCCACGGTAGACAGCAGTCGGTTTTTAGGTTGATATAAGGAAAGGACGTTACAAGGACGCGTAGCCTTGGATAAATTTGTTCATTGTCCTGGGCTTTCGAAATTTTACAGGAGTTCATCAGGTCTCTGACCGTGGACTCCTGTAGAAATCCGAAAGCTCAGAATAACGAACAAATTGATCCGGTGTTCGACTATGCTTCTTCCTTATCCAATAACAAATATCCCCGGGACAGATGGAAGCATACACAGGCACTATCGACCGTATGATTAAATGCGGGTCAGGACTATTGATTTAAACTCTGGCCAACCATATAAGCTTACATTATACCTCTTTTAAGTTAGATGTTTACACACAGCTCAGAATTCAAAATTGGAATGTCATTTGTGGTTTTTTAGGAGAAAAACTGTCGCTCGTGGGAAAAGGTGTTTGGGAGATAGGACCTTCATGCTGTAGTGAATTTTGGCAGCAAGCCAGGGGGCCCATCGCGATTCACACCTTTTTCCGAAGGCCCACACGAGGAGGAGACCGCAGAACTACTAGAGCACCCCGCAGAAACCGAGATGTTAACATGATACGCCCTTTCTGTTTAAGGCGTCCTCCAATAAGGTGATAAAAACATGGGAAACCCGCCACGGTCGTCAGCAGTCGATTTGTAGGTCGATGTGAGGAAAAAAATGCCGCGTGGTGTAGGGCCATAGTTGCCGTTGAGGCGACTGCTGACGTGATTGTTGCAGTTCGCATAGATAGAAAGAGGCAGCGCGAAGTTACTGGGCGATGCATGGCGAAATGTTTTCGAGCAAATAGCAATACTACTTAAACATAGCATTTGATTTTTTACTTGACTTAAAGATAAATGAAACTATTTGGCTGGAAATGAAGGAGCTC